AAAATGAGATAAATATGGGAAAGAATATATTGAAATCAAGGAACAAGTGGAAACCTGGGAAATGCGGGCAAATAATGACAATATTTGAAGCTTTAAGGCCTGAGTGGATTATTTTTCAAATGTTATCTCGATTGTGTTTCCATCTTTATAATTTAAAGTGTTTCACAATTTTCAAAAATTATGTTTTTGCAACCCGTATGAAAAAATGTAATAGAAAAATCTAACGGTTTCTTTCAGATATTCTATTGATTTTTATGGGAATTCTAATGGAGTTTTCTTGAATTTCTATTAGAAAATTGTCTATTTTTTGCGCCAATTTTATTGAAGACATTTTACCCTGTCATTTAACATCAATAGATTTTTATTTTTCTACAGAAATTCTTGAGCATAAATTTTCCAAGTTTTTTTATTGTATTTTTTACAATAGAATGAAGACACAAGAAGAAAACACTTAAAAAATTCTTGTCCAAGAATTCTCATAGTAATAATATCAATATAATGAGTTACATAGAAAAATCAACATCTATATGTATATTTTTTTCTATAAACAAATATCTATTTGAAGAACACAGGAGAAAGTTACATCATTTGCAATAGAATTCCAATAAAGATGGACTTTCTCAGAGGACGCGCTAGGATTTTCTATCAAATTTTTCCGTACATGAATTTTAAAAAATTGAAAAAAATTGGAGAATGTAGCAATTGGAAGATTACAATGCTTCCATTCGGAAGCAAACATTGAATATTTTCGAAGAGCGTTTTTACTAAAGATTAGGAAATAAGTGCAACAGAGAAGAAATTGCAAACGGATAATTTATCATGGCAACTCACGATCTGATAGCCATTTGCTACTGTGACACATCTGTCCATCATGTTATTCCCCAGTATTATTCAGAAACGTTCTATGAAATCGTTCATTTTTATCTATTCTTTTTTTATTGTACAATCATATTTTTTGAGAACTCCATCGCAATGTATAAATAAATGGCAATTGGAAAAGATTTTAGATTATATAAAAAAATATTGAGATTACGTTCGAACGGCAATACATTGGGGCCTTAAGCATATAAACTCATACTAAAGCCCCCATTCGGTGCATATTCCTCACTTTATGAATAAAAAAAAATACTTCACTAGGATTGAGGAATTAAAAGTTCTATCAATATGAAGAATTTAACTTTTCATCAATTGAACAAAAAAAGCTTTTTAAATGCTTGCAGTTTTGGATGAACATCCTCAAATCATTTGAACTGTTTCGAATCAAAAACATGGGTCGGTCAATGCGCAGTTCCAGTGATTGTTGAAAATGAATGAAGATAAAAAGAATGAAAATGATAATTACATTGGATCGCTCTCAGAACACTTTTATCGAACCGTCAAATCGATGAATTCAATAACTTTGTGGGTGATCTACTTTTCGAAGTGAGGATTGCGTCATGGATCTTATAAAAAAATGAGAACGAATCCATTGCAGGGGGAATGGGTGAAAATGCACCCGTGGACAATTTCGTCTCTTTACACGGAGAGAAATATTCAATAAAAATGACGTATCTTTTCTGTAATTCCGGAGCGAAATGTGGTTGTAGGAAATTTCACGGGAGCACATCTAAAAAACTGCCGTCAAAACAACTCCGCCCTATCCGCCACGTGTTATTTTGGAGGTTGTTTTGACGGAGTTATTTTTAAATGGAATTTTTAGACATGGACCCAAATTTACGGAACTGTCACGCAATTTTTCCAGAGCGTTCCGTGATTTTTATCTGAATCTCCTCTGAAAAATTACGATACCGTCACTTAAATTTTCTGAGTCGATTCCGTGAGCGAATTGTGAGTTCCTTAATTTTTACTAAACATTTCTCTCCGTGTAGTTAATGAATAAAATAAGAGTGATTCCACTGGAGACATTCTGAAACACGATAAGTCGATCTCAACCCAAGATCAGTTTTTGATGGATTTAAATTGTTTTGTAGACGATTCAAGATGTATGGAGAAAGCATTTATCACAATTTCGTCATTATTCCCAGAAATTCCTAAGAAACTTGACGCTAAGATTTTTGTGGTTCCTTTCATTTTGTTAAAAATCTTGTGTTAGGGCCTGGGTGAATTATCTTTCGAACGTGATGTTGATTGTTTTTGTTTATTTTCATAATTTAAAGTATTCTCCAATAGGGAACTTGCATGATTTTTGTTTCATTTTTAAATCTCAAGTTTCGGCCTTGAACAATTCAGTAACGACGTGGTAAAATCGACTTATCTCCCAGTTGAGTTTGTGAGGAATATTTGCGAATCTAAGGGACATAGCGAAATTTTCGTAATTACATTTGTTGTAGCTCAACATGAGAAATATTGCTTTAATAATAATTTTTCCATAATGCTTTTCGTTTAGCTATCTATGGATTATGTAGACTGGGTGAGTAGAGAAATTAGGGAAAACTGAACCCCATGCCTATTGCCATTCAGTTTTACATAGCGTTGGAGTCCCAAAAAATGATGATAGTTGATTTTGTCAGAAGTAGACAAAAAACTTGACATTTGTGAATAATATTGGAAGATGAACGCATTAGGGAGAAAATAGCGCATTAATAATTTACTGGCTATCAGATGGCTCTCAGATCGTTAGTTGCCATAATAAATTATTTACCGTTTACAATTTTCTCTCTATGGAACTTATTTCCTAATCTTTATCAAGGATAATCGGACGAGGAGGACATGTAGGAGGTGAGGCGGAAGGGTTTCTATTATTTTCCTGCAGAAAACCAATCGCTGAACAAAAAAATGTTTCCCATTCGGATTCAAAATTCAAGGGATATTAGGAAGTATCTCCGGTTAAAAATTATTTTTGGAGCTAATCAAATTTATTTGTATCTGTTCCACGCATTGAATGGTTTTCAGATTGTTTTTTTTTTAATAAATGAAAAAATATTAATCCATGCGAAAAAGTGGCAACATCGTCGGTAGTTTTTTGTTTCACCAGGAGCTGGTACCACTGGCTCGAGGAAGCTACAATCACAACACTTCATCGCTCTCTCTCAAGAGACGTTTAAATTGACCGCGCTACACCCACCCGATCGGTACTTGGGACGTTGCTGCCATAGTATATGTCTATGGTTGCTGCTCGTTTGGGCTACGTGCGCAGAAATGTCATTTTTCAGTACTTTTTTCCTTATTATTAATAAACAATGCTAATAGGCGACAATCTTTTCCACTCAAAAAATCATTGATCACATGTTCTAAATGCATCTAAAGTTTCATGACTTTGGCTGCATTTTTTCCTTCGGTTTTACAGTTTTTTGGTGATTTCCATAAAATCATGGGTTAAATGATCACTTTTTCAAAAATTCATAATAAATTAACCATGCTCCTCAGCAGTCTGAAACTTTGCACACGCCTTTTCCATCATTTAAAGAATAAGTAAAAAAAAGAAAAAAATGGCTGCTTTTTTTCCAACCCTCCCAGCTCGCCCGATTATTCTTAAAAAGGCTCTTTAGAAATGTTCAGGTTTTTCCACTTTTTAATTATCGTATAATCACAGTTTTTAGAACTCCTGCGTGATGTGAAATCCAACGGAAATTGTGATATACATTAGATCATGAAAATGGAAGAACAATCGACATAACGTTCGAAAGATAATCCATTCGGGCCTTAAACTGGAAAAAAATCTTTTATGTCTCTCGTTAGTGCAATTAGTACTATTTTCAAAAATTCGTCGAGCATTGATGCGTAAATGTCCTACAATCGTTTTCAATCCAGGTCGCATCATAGATGTCACCTTCCCAATTTTTCTTTATTAACGAATTTTGTGACGAACCTCTCACTCGCTGTTTATCTAATTATCGCTGATTAAGACAAGAAGTGTTATTGAGAAACTCTTTGCCATTTAAAAGTTACCTCACAGGATTTTTCAGTGAATAATGCAATTTCCATGAGATTCGAAAGATAATACACTCAGGCCTCAAATTCAGTGATGTCCACCGAGAAATCACCCTGAGATTGAATCGACTCATCCTGTTTTAGCACTTCACTTCTGACTTTTCATCAAATATCTCCAAATCGAAACGAAATTACAAAAACTTCGTAGTCCTTCCTGTAGAGCAAAATGAAATCTGCAAAAATGATTCCTATAGAAAATCCTGTCTGATCATCTTCCACTCGATCATTTGCCCCTTCCCCTCATCATCACATTTCGATATTATTTCCCATGAGAAATGTCCCATGTTGTTCCACCCCCTCCCAGAATTACGTAAAATTTTTCACTAAAAAATACAAATGTCGAAACTTTGGATAATCTCATGATTTCCAAAAACGATTGCCTGCGTCGTTGACAAACGCAGTGCATTCAGTAACCTTCATTTACCTAATCCCACCAGTGCCTCATCCATGAGTTCATTATCAATGATACAGGGGGACGCTGCTGAATGTGGTGATGGTGGAATGACCGTGGGCGAGGGAACTGGACTCTTGAGAATATGCAGACACTGACGGACTCGGTGGGAAAACAGGTGGTGGTGGAGTATTTCTCCGAGCAGGAGCTTGCAGACTCATGGCTTTCTCAGGAATACTCGACAGGGAGACCTTTCCCACGTCCTTCAGAGTTGAAAAATCCAGTATATCGTTGGCATCAGCACTAGGCACTGGAGTCGTTGATTTAACAGGTGCATCTATCGACGATGCAGCACTTGAAGACATTGGAAGGCCTGACGAAGTTTTGTCTTTACGATCCTCTGATTTGTATTTGCTCAAGGCAGCATCAGCTGGTTTAGTGGACAGATTCAAACTCTCCGAGGTGCCAGACACTGAAGAGCCAGAAGTGGGAAAGGTTGATGTCTTTGACGAGACAATGGCATCTGACGTGTCCGCATGCCCCAACATATTATAATCACTTCCACTCCACCCCCTCCCAGAATTACGTAAAATTTTTCACTAAAAAATACGAATGTCGAAACATTGGATAATCTCATGATTTCCAAAAACGATTGCCTGCGTCGTTGACAAACGCAGTGCATTCAGTAATCTTCATTTACCTAATCCCACCAGTGCCTCATCCATGAGTTCATCATCAGTGATGCAGGGTGACGCTGCTGAATGTGGTGATGGTGGAATGACCCTGGGCGAGGGAACTGGACTCTTGAGAATATGCACAGACACTGAGGGACTCGGTGGGAAAGCAAGTGGTGGTGGGGGTGGCGGTGGAGGTGGAGTATTCCTCCGAACAGGAGCTTGCAGACTCATGGCTCTCTCAGGAATACTCGACAGGGAGACCTTTCCCATGTCCTTCGGAGTTGAAAAATCCAGCAGCATATCGTTGGCATCAGCACTAGGCACTGGAGTCGTTGATTTAACAGGTGCATCTATCGACGATGCAACACTTGAAGACATTGGAAGGACTGATGAAGTTTTATCTTTACGATCCTCTGATTTGTATTTGCTCAAGGCAGCATCAGCTGGTTTAGTGGACAGATTCAAACTCTCCGAGGTGCCAGACACCGAAGAGCCAGAAGTGGGAAAGGTTGATGCCTTCGACGAGACAATGGCATCTGACGTGTCCGCATGCCCCAGGATACTATCATCACTTCCACCCCCTGTTGGAATATTCTTCAGAAATTGAGGAGTAGAATTCCTGGGGTTTATCGTCAGATCCTTGCAGACATCCCTCGCCTCCATATCTGGCTGCATCGACAGATTCGTGGGCACATCAGAGTCATGGGTAACAGGTACATTCGATGATGATTTTAGAATAGTTGCGTCCAGAGCATTGAGACTCATCAGTGGCATGGCAGTCGATGAATTATCCGGCTTACTCTGTGTCCCCTCACGTCTCTCCAACAAATCCGATGACTTCGAGCCCGATATATTCGCATTCTGCACCTTGGAATCAAGCTTACTCGTCGACAGACTCTCCAAGAGTTTATTTCCACTGTGCTCAGGTGTTGGTAATTTATCACTCGTCGATTTTTTGTCACTCGAGTCTGCATTTCGCGCTGACAACTTTGGAATTTGAAAATTAGTATCCAATTGCTGCTTGATGAGACCCTCGACAAGCATCTGAGGAGGAACACTGGACATTGATGCGTGTGCAGCGAGTAGTTTAAACGCCCTTTCGGTCTCGCTCTCCTCCCTCAGGGCTGACGGACTCGCCTTTCTATCCGTCGACTTTGACCCAAACAGTCCCCCAGATTTCTCCCCAGACTTTGGGACTCTCGACTTGTCTCGACTTCTGCTGAGATCAGTCGCCCCCGAGCTCGACATCTTCGGTGATCCTGAAGACTTCGACGTGGCACTTTTCGTTAAAATCCCACCTCCACTCGACGAGGATGATCCCGACGTTGACTTCATACTAGAGACCTTCTGCCCCGGTAATCCCACCTTGTTCGACATTCCCGAGGCGTTCATCCCCTGTTGGACCTTCAGAGATGACTGGGACTGGGGCTTTTTCGAGGCTGGCCCCGAGTTGACCCCAGGCTTCAGGCCAGTGTGAGTCTTCGGGGATCCATTCCCTGATGAGGACGACCCTGACGAGGCCACTGGCTCCCTCACCCCTGAAGAAGACATCTTCATGTTTCCAGTCTTCGAGTCTTTAGCCCTCGTCTTGTTAATCGTTATCTTCATTCCATCTGAACTGTGCTTTACCATGTACTCTCCAGGGTTTTTGCTGTCAATCGAGGGACTGTTCTTCCCCGCACTCTTGCCCTCGCTGCTCTTGGTTGATGTGGGAGGTCTCTCTTTGGAGCTAGACTCCCCGGATTTTCCGCTGCCATTCCCCTCGTCGGTGACGTGCTGGGCATTCTTCAGTTTATCGATCACAGCACTGAGGGAGCCCTTTCGATTCCTCGCCTGCTGCTGCTGTGCAGACGTGGATTTACTCAGGTCTGAGCCACCAGAGGGTGGAGTACTGCTGCCACTGCTCGGAAGGGACGACTGGCCCTCCGAACTCGGGAGAAGGTCAATTGACTTGACTTTGTTGCTGGAGGACTTTGTCTTTGGACTCTGGTGGCCAGAACCACTGAAGGATAGTGCGGAGGAGGGGGCCTTTCGATCTTTGTCTCTGGAGGGATCTTTACTCGAGGATTTCGGCTTCGATGAACCCTGATCGCTGCTCTTGCTGGAGGGAGAGGGGGAGTTGTTGGCTGCTGACTTCAAGGCAGACATGCTTGGCTTGCCTGAACTCGCTGAACTCCCGTGCTTCGGGGACGATGTGCCGTGCTTCGGGCTTACGTTGGCAGATATACCTGTGCAGTGGGGAAATAAAACTTGACGTCAGTGGAGGAATTTTCAGCAGGCTGACACTGATAGAAAGGTTCATTATTGTTAACGAATGGATTTGGTTGGAGACGAGGGTCTATTTAATCTCACCAAATGTTCATTCATTACTAGTTAACAAATGCACATTTGAGGAGCCTTGTTTGACTCAATTTTCACTTTTCATTTGGTCATATTCAACTCTACTATTCGTTAATAGTTAACGAATCTCGTTTGGAATAAATGAATCAGTCCATCAGTGTAGGGGAGAGTGGGGCAAAATGAAACATGGGGCACAATGAAACAGTCAAAAAAGGACAGACGCAATTCAAGCAAAAAAAAATTTTGTCATCAAAATTTTATTTATCAACTTTTTTTTATTCTTGGGAGTACTGATGAGAATAATAATTTTCCATTCAGTAGAATGGTAAATTATTGAGAAGTTTTGACGGGCAAAGATTTTGTCAATGGATTAATTGAAAAGAAAATGAAACAGCAACATCCAAAGTCCGCAGCAAGGCCCAGGGGAAGACCCAGAGGGGGAAAAGGAAAATGTAATGCTAAATTTCCACCGAATAATCCATTGCCAAAATCTTCGACCATCAAAACTCCTCAATAATTTTCCATTCTACTGAATGGAAAATTATTATTCTCATCAGTACTCCGAAGAATAAAAAAAGTTAACAAAAGAAAATTTAATTCAAAAAAATTTTTTTTGCTTGAATTGCGTCAACAGTCGTTTTTTGACTATTTCATTTTGCCCCACTGTTTCATTTGGTCCGACTCTCCCCTATTCAACGTTTTTTTATTGAAAAAGAATTATTATTTCTTGAGAGATATTGGTAGAGTTGTAAGATTTAACCATTTATTTTGGGTTCTTGAGGTCATGGAATCGTTTTTCCCTGATTAAATGGGAACGTCCGCATGAAAAACAGGGATATGCACGTTTTTGCCTCAGCAAAAGCCTTGTATTTTACCGATTTTTCAATTTTCTAATTTTGATTTCAAATGGTCCAGAATGAAACGCAAAGAAATTATATTTTTTTGGTCATGTCTGTCTGTGTGTTTGACAATTTGGGTTTTCAGTGATTAATTTTTAGAAAATTCAACATAAATAAGCCTGTGACCGTTACTTTTTGCGTTATTAGTCTATTTTTTCTTCAACCAATTCCATTGGTAGCAAGCTTCCGAATGGATTCGTAGCAATTCCGTCCTTATGGCAGGCATACAACCGTAACCACATGCTACAGGGTGTCTACAGGAAGATATTCAATCTTTCAATGAAAAAGATTTATACAAAACGTTAAATATTTCCGAAACTGCTCGGCCGGTTGAGCTCCTCCAGAGTACCAAGCTTCAGTATTGTAAGAGCTATAACCATACCAAATTTTAATTTGCGACTTGGTCACTTCCGCGGGGATTCCCCGCCGTGTGATTTACGCTTTAGCGTTGTCGAATTCACTCTACACTGCCCGGGCGCGTTTAGCGAGTTTCCGGCAACGTCGCGTCATGAGCAATTTCCTTTAAGGTGAAACGGAATGTGATTTCTCCTGCGATGATTATTTTTTATTTATGAAACTACTTCATGGACCCAACAATGCAATGATCAAGTCCATAAAGTAATTGCATAGAAATAAAGTAATAATTGTAGGAGAAAACACGATTCTAAAAATTCAAATAAACGCAGGGATTCCGTTTCCCTTTAAGAGGCAATGTTGTAGAGACCAAAACTAAAATACAAGTTTAAGAGGCAATGGAACTTACCATCGGAGTAGAAACTTCATTCCAAGTTTTTTCGTCGCCGGACGACCATTTAGCCCAAAAACCCAAATTCTTACACTACAGCAATATTATTCTTCCTTTCTTTCTTTCTTTCTTTCATTCTTTGGATTTAACGTCACATCAACAGCTAGGTTATTAGTGACGGGCTCTCGACTCTTTCTTGTCGCTAGAGCTCACGACTATTTCCTCTGTAACTTGTAAGTTACGATGTTATGACAGTATTTCAAGTGAATGATCGGAATGCAATCACACACGATGGTGAGAATCAACTGTAGTCAGTTAGGTTCTCGAGACACGTGAAAACTGTAGGTTATTTGTACATGATTCGAACATGATTAATTCTATTTCTCTCCGTATTTTAACATTTTCATTTCAAATATTCACATTGGTGTCCTTATATTATTTGACTAAATCAAATAATCCAGAAAAAATTTCACCGGTGCCAGGTTTTGAACCCAGGACCTCTGGCTTTGTAGGCGGAGACCTTACCGATGCGGCCATACACCAATATTATTGATGATGTAAGAATTTGAGTTTTTCTAAATAGTCGTCTGACGACGAATAAACTTGGAATCCAATTTTTACTCCGATGGTAAGTTCCATTGCCTCTTAACATGGGAAAAAATCATTCATCTGTCCGAAATCATTTGGCTTCTTTAGGAATTTTGGGAAATATGCTGTTCTAAAAACAACTATAATTTTTTAGACACTTCAATTGACAAAGTCTATTTTTTTTATTTTTCCGGTTAGCCAGTCAATTGTATTCCCTCATAGGGTGACCAAATGGAAAGTTCAGGGGATACGTCGGGGAAATTTAAGTCTTCACTGGGCCTTGGGACTCATTGAAATATTTGTGATATATGGCGGAATATGGAAATAACTAAAAAAATCGCGGACCCGATCGATTTTGCCCCCTGTAACCACGAAAAACGTCATTTCTGCTGCTTTTACCTTCAAAATGCTCCTTGCGCCGCAATTTTCATGGGATTTTAGCTTCTTTTTATAAAAATGTTCGTTACACTTCAAAGAATAAAGTTAATAATCCGTTTTACTGTATTCGCAATAGATCATGAATCAATGAATTTTGAATTCCATAAATTTTTCACGTCTCTAGAGTAGGACTAAAAATTTATTGATTTTAGTAGTTGAACATTGTAATCATGCGTAATCTAATTTTTATGAACAGAAAAAATGGCAGGTTGAAGTAAAAAGGTGGGTTCAAAAGAAAATTTTTTCCATTCGGAAACAAAAATAAACATTAATGACGCAAAAAGTAACGGTGACATGCTTTCTCTCGAATAGCCTCGAACCCCTGCTTGTTTTCATCTTCTTTAGCCCTCAAGTGGTCGCGCTATGAGCAAAGCACAGTCATTTTTATTTGTTTCATAATAACTGCGAAAGTGTCGATAATTACGAAATGCCAATTTAGGAGGTCCTCAAATAATCTGTACTCGTAGCATTAAATCCGGTTTTATTGTTCTCCGGCCATCAAATCTTTTTTTTATCAATTTTTCAATGAAGTGCGGTCAGAAAAAAACGACGCTGCGCTTGTTGCGCGGCCAGAGTAGTAGTAGAAATTGGACGAGCGACGTTGCCCGCTCTCGTGCTGTTCCCAGCTGGCAGATGTCACTCCAAAACGCTCTACCACTCAACTACAAACGTACACAAGTCAACGTCAACGTTTCAAGTCATTAAACAATTAATAAAACTTGTGATGTCATTAGAGATAGGTGATTGTTGAGAAAATACCGTTGTCACTGTAAATTGTAAGTTGAAAAAAAACAATCTTCCCTTTGTATATGAGTTTGATATTTCATTTGATATTTAGAAAATAAATATTCTTTGTCTTGTTCATATAATTCTTTCAGAAGTAAAAAAGTAAAAAAAAAATTTTGATTCATTTCACTTTCCCCCAATTCATGATCCGCGCGCTTGTGACTGGGAACGAAGTATCGTTCTGGCAACGTCGCACTCGAGAATACACGGACTGCGCAGCGCTTAGAGATCCGATCAATTAGCCCCTCATGTATAGATATTCCAAATTTTTATTTTTTTCCTTATTGAAGTAGTTTTGAAGAAAATTGCGAGCTAATAAAAAACATTTGCTAGTTAGTACTTTTTTTAAAATAAATTTTTGAAAAATCACCTCTGAAAAAAAGGCGTTATCCCCTCTATTTCATTATTTCCAAAAAATTTTATGACCAATCGGTAGCAAATTGTTTGAATATTTTTGCGAGTTAAGAAAAAATCGTCAATGCAATTTTATTATTGTGTAAATTAACAATTCCAATTTCAACTGAAAACCAGAGTTGATGACCAGAGTTTGTAACAGAGATGTCAGACAAGATATGAATGTTTTTTTTGGCTCAAATGAAAGAGCGGCTCGAAAAATGGCGTGCAGAAGTCTTTAAAGATGACAAATGTCTCTAAAGATGATGTCTGTTTTCAATTGAAAAGCGCAATTGTGACAACATTGTCCAGTGGGGTCTAGGAGTCTCCCCTGGTTCAAAACCATCTTTAGAGGCCCCTGCACGCCATTTCTCGACCCGCTCTTTCATTTGAGCCCAAAAGAACATTCATATCTTGTCTGACATCGCTACTACAAACTCGGGTCTACAACTCGGGCCTTCAATTGAAAGCCCGAGTTGAAGACCCGAGTTTGTAGCAAAGATGTCAGACAAGATATGAATGTTTTTTTGGGCTCAAATGAAAGAGCGGGTCGAGAAATGGCGTGCTAGGGCCTCTAAAGATGGTTTTGAACCAGGGGAGACTCCTAGACCCCAATGTTCTATACATACTCCTAGACCCCATTGTCCTCCTAGACAATGATGTCACAACTCTGCTTTTCAATTGAAAACAGATATCATCTTTAGAGACATTTGTCATGTTTAGAGGCTCTAGCACGTCATTTCTCGACCCGCTCTTTCATTTGAGCCCAAAAAAACATTCATATCTTGTCTGACATCGCTGCTACAAACTCGGGTCTACAACTCGGGCCTTCAATTGAAAGCCCGAGTTGAAGACCCGAGTTTGTAGCAAAGATGTCAGACAAGATATGAATGTTTTTTTGGGCTCAAATGAAAGAGCGGGTCGAGAAATGGCGTGCTAGGACCTCTAAAGATGGTTTTGAACCAGGGGAGACTCCTAGACCCCAATGTTCTATACATACTCCTAGACCCCATTGTCCTCCTAGACAATGATGCCACAACTTGACTTTTCAATTGAAAACAGACATCACCTTTAGAGACATTTGTCTTGTTTGGAGGCCCTAGTACGCCGTTTCTCGACCCGCTCTTTCATTTGAGCCCAAAAAAACATTCATATCTTGTCTGACATTACTGCTACAAACTCGGGTGTACAACTCGGGCTTTCAATTGAAGCCCCGAGTTGAAGATCCGCGTTTGTAGCAAAGATGTCAGACAAGATATGAATGTTTTTTTGGGCTCAAATGAAAGAGCGGGTCGAGAAATGGCGTGCTAGGGCCTCTAAAGATGGTTTTGAACCAGGGGAGACTCCTAGACCCCACTGGACAATGTTGTCACAATTGCGCTTTTCAATTGAAAACAGACATCATCTTTAGAGAGATTTGTCATCTTTAAAGACTTCTGCACGCCAGTTCTCGACCCGCTCTTTCATTTGAGCCAAAAAAAACATTCATATCTTGTCTGACATCTCTGCTACAAACTTTGGTCATCAACTCTGGTTTTCAGTTGAAATTGGAATTGTTAATTTACACAATAATAGGAGTGCATTGACGATTTTTTCTTAACTCGCAAAAATCTTCAAACAATTTGCTACCGATTGGAGATAAAATTTTTGGGAAATAATGAAATAGGGGGGATAACCCCTTTTTTTTCAGGGATGATTTTTCAAAAATTTATTTTAAAAAAAGTACTAACTAGCAAATGTTTTCTATTAGCTCGCAATTTTCTTCAAAACTACTTCAATGAGGAAAAAAATAAAAATTTGGAATATCTATACATGAGGGGCTAATTGATCGGATCTGCGCTTTAGCGTGCGACCAGACGCGTTCGGTGGAGAGGCGCGACCACTCGCGGCTAGCGACGTCATTGTTGACCCTATGAGGATTATTTTGGGCTCAAAATGTGCGGAATGTTATCAATATTATCAGAGTATACATAACTCGGCTACGACAAAATGATCCCTTTTCATGCGGACATCCATGATTAGACTTGATTTGAATCAAATAAATGGGCTTATTTGAATAAGTCGTGTTAAACTTTTGTTTGAAGTTAAAATTGATTTTCATCAATGTTTTATTCACACAAATGGTTTTTGAAGAATATAAACGAATTCATTATTTATTTTATATAATTAAAAAAATTTTATTGCAATAAATACATAAGTTTATTCATTTCCACTAAAAATATTGGGGAAATGAATAGGAAAAGTTCAAACAGTTTTATTTGATTCAAAAGTGTTATTCTTCTGGGTGTATTTTTTATAGATATTTCTACAAAAATCACGTAAAAACCGACTAAGGCCCGGTAGCAGTAAGCCCTGTTGAGCAAACAAACCCTAGGGTAAAATTCATCCTCGACTTGTGTTATATCCTAACGGTAACAACTTTTGCACATTTAACTTGAAGAATCATCTTGTATTTACCCTTCAGGCCCCGTTAAAACTCATTTAACCATGGGATTAATTAATTTACTTCCTTCCTGGAATAAATTTTAGATACTCCTTCTGATTCTTCAATATTCGCAGAATTTGCGACTTACACTGATTAAAGTTAAAATATACTTATCGAAATTAGAAATAATGAAATAATTGAGAATCTAAATTTCCGATTGATGATGAATTGAATAATTGATAATATGCAACAGTAAATTTTCTATGAAGTAAATAATACTGACATTCGGTTGGTCGCGCTATGTGGGTCGCGCCGCACTTTTTCCGGTTTTCTAAATATACTATAATAAAGCCTAAAAAAATTGAAATAATTTGGCATCTTATTTTGAAGTATCTAGAAGCCCTATCAATGAAAATATCCATTAAAAAATATCATAAATAGTTAGATTTTCAAATTTTTATTTTGGAACTCCGAACCGTGTCCCGTGTACAATGCGAATTTTCAGAAAAACATGGCAACTTTGAGCTCGAATATATAACGAAGGGCAACACTGAATATAAAAAATCTCACGGGACTTCTTCAAGTATAAAATTTAGATCACTATGAATTTTTTTCAGATTTTTCCTAGATCTTTCAAATTTATCATTATGTCGATTTATGCTGGTGCGGCGCGGCGCTTACGGCGCGAACAACGGAGTGCTAATTTCGTAAAACAGATTTTCGATTAACCAAATAATCGTCAGTCTTCCTAACTAAATTATTGATTAACAAAATACTTTGGAATTTAAATATTTAAATTGATGATTACTTCAAAAATTAAAAACTAAAGAGTGATATTAATGAATTGACTACTTCAAAATTTAATGATAATTATAATTTATGAATATGGCTATCCCTGCTCTGATGCAATACCCGATCGACGTATCGAATTTACCTTTTTTAACTAACGATTTAATTAACTGAACCTTGTGCAGTCAGGCCTCAATATTTTATATAAAATATCATATTAAAATATAATACAATATTTTAATACAGGGAAGAGTGGGGCAAAATGGATATTTTTTATTTTTAATAAAGTTGATAACTCAGAAATAAATTCACAAATTCAGCTTAGTCTGGACTCATCACAAACAGAATCAACTGTATTTTACATGGAAAAAAAATTGTTCTGTTTCATCAATCGTTCAATGCATTGACAAATTAAAAATGCCCATATTGCCCCACTCTGCCCTCTATAAAATAGAAATTTCAATCGAATTTTTTATCAAATTCATTGACCCTTTCTCTCGCACTATTTCACACATCTAGCAGTCATTGAATACTCCCCTCCACGCATGGCGTACACTGTTTAATTACATTTATAGAATAAAAACGTTCATTATTTCGCACCTGTACCACGTCCACCTGTACGTCTTACTGAAAAATAATTAATATGCTGCCTGGCTTATGGAATGACTTCATAACAACAAAACACTGAATGAACTGAAATCTGTGATAATATATTTTTATAAGTAAAATTATGACGTAATAATAAATACTTCGGAATCTAAGGGAGATAGCAAAATTGTTGTTATAAACATTTGTGTAGAGTCGATTGAGTGTTATAACAAATGTAATTACGAAAACTTCGCTATCTCCCTTAAATTCGGAAATATTCCTCAAAAACTCAACTGGGATACAAGTCAACTTAAGGGGTAACAGAATGCCCTTAATTTTCCAAATTATTGCACAAATTTCCTGCCGAAAGTTATCGATATTTGTACAAATCAAAGCACATTAATCTCCAGAAGGCGATGAAGATCAATGTGCTTTGGATTCCAAAAATATAAATAACTTTGCGCAGGAAATTTGTTTTGAAAATTTCAGGGAAACGGCAGCCTTCTGCTACTTCTTAAACCGTTTTACCCCTTCGCTACTGAATTACAGAATTTTCCTCGACCATGAAAAAATAGTATACTGTGTTACAAGTGCGTAAAGAACCACTTTTTCGCACGCACGCATAACACATCTAATTTTTTGTAATACCTGCCGAGTTCGCGGTTCGAAACCGTAGTGGGGGTAAAGTGGTTGCTTTTGTGCACGGTGTGCGTAAAACAACCACTTTACACACACTAAACGGTTTCAAAAAGTGAACTTTTGAGGCAGGTATTACAAAAACCACATTTACGAACAATTTACCAACACTGGTTAAGAATCCTTAAAACTCTTATAAGTCTCCCCTTACATATTGGCATTTTGTAGTTTACCTTTATCCTCAGGGGATTTGCTTTCGTAACTCAGGATATCAATAAAAGCACCTACCTATCATCTATCTATCAATCATAAATATTGTTTTGCCTCACCTGACGACGTGTGCTTCGGACTGCTGTAAACCGGCGAATGCTTGGGACTCGGCATGGATTTGCTGGGCGTCGAGGAACTCGACGATGAGCTGCTGTTGCCACTCGACGAGGACTTGACCCCCGGCGACGACTTCCCAACAAGAGCTAAAGGGCTCGTATGCCCCGGCGAAGGATTGAACCGTTTAATTGTCGCAGGTGACGAGGGCCTCGAGATGCTCTGCTGCGGCTCTGGTTTAATACTGACAGAAACCGGCTTGGACAGTGGATCCTGCGTCTTCAGTGGAAGTTTCTCAGGTGGTCCCATGGGGCTGTCCTCCTTCTTCCGTTTCCTCCTCTTCTCAAGCCTCGCCTTATCATCACTCGTCTTCTTCCTATCCCTCCTGTCCTCTGGATTCACCGGCTTTATCGTGGCTGGAGTGATCGGAGTTATCGTCACAGAACTAGATAGAGACGTTGGAGTGATGGGAATCAACTCAATCCCAGGCCTCCTCTCCAAACTTATCCCCGATAGCACTGAATTGTAGCTGGTGGGAGTGATGGTAACACCACTATTCGTAATCTGTGTTATGCTGAGTGACGAAGGCACCAGATTACTCTTCTCCTCGAAGACATTTGGACTCTTCTTCTCCTCTCGATTTTTCCTCGACTTCCTCTCCTTCTTCATAATTTCGTTGTAGTCATCAGGTAAATCGTGCACCTCCATCACCTCAGACTCATTATCCACATCATAATCCGTGGAGCTCCTAGTATCACCACTGACAATATCACTGGCATCGAGATTAGAAAGATCCAATCCAGTGACCAAACTCACAGCTGCTGACGTGGGAGTTGGTGTTCTCGTTCCATTAGCATTATCCCTAGAAGTTGGTGTGCCCAGAGGTGTTGAATCAGAGCTCGAGCTCTCGAGTAAAATTTCTCCCGAATCATCGCTCTTATTCTTGGGACTCCTCCAAATGCCATCAGCTGTCTTTCTCTTTCTATTCTTCTTAGATCTATCAGACGTTGGTGTTGACGACGACATTCCCCCAACCGGTGAACTCTTGCCCTGCAGTAGTGCACCCAATTGCAGTGGATTTAACATTGTATTTTGTGTATCGGATTGGCCGGAAAACGACGGAAACCCGATACTATTCTCCGTTCCGGCATCTAAAAAAGACTGCTGCTGTTGATTTGTTATTTGCTGTCTTATACCATTACCATTGCCATTCAATCCAGGCTCAACTTTGATATTACTGTCGCCATTCGTAAAATCCATAGGTGTATTCCCATCGTGGCCATTCTGTGGCCCCTGTAAATTAACACTGTAATTACCACCATTTGTTGCACCACCACCAGCACCACTGCTGCTGATATTACTCATTGGCATTGAGTTACGTCCCTCCCATGTTTTAATGAGTGCTCTCATCGTCACTGGTATATTAAGGCACCTTTGCAATACTTTGCTTATTATATCGGACGTTTGTTCGTCGTCTGTCACACTCACACCGTACAGTTTACATTTAACTGCTGATATATCCGACAGATCGAGTTCAATTGTTGCCATTGTCTCCTCGAATGGGTGCTCGAGGCTTATCGATACGTGCTGCCACGATAGGGCACTTATTTCCAGCATTGTCGTGTGCTCAAGCTCTTGGCGTGCCATTGGCCGGACACAGCTCGTGAGGAGAGTATTGAAGAGGGCCTGTTGACGAAGATAACCGAGAATTCGTGGCACGTGGGCTGGATGAGTGAAGGGAATGCTGCCCACCAGGACACCCTCCATGCTCTTGTTCTCAGTCATGAAGTAGCAGTGCTGCTGGTCAGGAAGGGTCACGTACAGTCCACGATTGTTTCTGCAGTCCAGTTGTCCGAGGCTCGAGTGCTGAACGATTAGGCTCAAGAGGGGCTGGGGTGAGGACACATCGAGGCACTCGAGTTCAGTGACTTTTTGAATTTGATTCAACAGCTCCCCGCACATGGGCATCCTCTTGGCGAGCTTCAGGACGAAGCAGGCTGGTAGCATCGACGAGTTGGAGCCCGTCAGGGGGGCGTACGAGGGGGTGTTCTTGCCGGTTGTTGAACGATTCACTGTGAGGATGCTTGTCGTGGGGAGCTTGTGGGCTGTTGAACCCTCCAAGCAGACTGTCACTGAGTGACCGATCTTACGGGTTATCACTGCTTCCGGAGTTAGTTGGTCGCATATGCGAGTCTGCAGGTCGATTAAGTCGTAGGGGGAGACGAAGTACGTTAGCTTCATCGCGTGACCACCTTTTCGCCTCTCGAGAATGCCTGGAAGAGAGTTGGGGGGTGAGTGAATGCTGGGGAAGTCGTGAGAGATGGGTGTAGGGGAAACAGGGAATTTCTGGACAGGGATTAGTCGCTGGACCATTTCAAGTTGCATTCAATATTTCATAATAAAATGAAAATTGGACTGATTAGTACACGTTTCAGTAATATTACTCGTGTATAATTATGTGAAATTTGAATTAATCATGTCAATTTTTATTTTTTATAAATCTTCACAAAACATGTGGGAAATTAATAGTTTTTTGTAGTCATAGTATAGTCATTTTGCACATCATATGGTTCTCTATAGTATAAAATTCATCGTCTCATATCATTTTACTAAATTCAATGAAATTTCTTCTTTAATCATGTGGGTTATATTTTTAATTTAATTTAATATTTGATGAAAGTGAAGTCGAAGTAAGTCAGTTTAATGAACCTTTCTTTTTGTTTATTCAAATAATCAGTGGAAATAAATTTTCCAAAAGATGGCGAATCAAAAAACGATTGAGTGCTATGAGAACAATTTCCAAAATTCGTTTATACACTGAATGGAAGAATGATGCTATTTATATTTGAAAATACCATAAGAAAGTTCACTTTCAGAGTGATTTACGAAAATCATAAAAATCAAAGCAACAAATGTAGATATTGCAGCGATGTTTTAACTTCGACGGAGTGGCATTGAAACCAATATTTTTAGCTATCATCGAATGAATTTAGAACATGATATCCAAAGATATCCTCATAATTGTGATTTTTATTTTAAAAAATGCAGATGTCCACTTGTTTTGCAAAATACTCTCATTCAAATTACTTGAAATTTAATATTCATGAAATTTTCCAACCATTCCTCCATCATTTCACAGGAAATTATCCTTTTAATAAACTAGGAATCCAAACGAATTCCTCAAGAGATTCTTTTTGCAGCTCTGGACATCGTGTTTAAAAGGGCCGTCTAATGAATTCCCTTAAACCTTTACGTTCATCAAATATTTGCAGAATAAGACAAATAGTGGAGTGATAAATAGTTTGTCTATTCATCTCATTTTGCCATTTCATCACATATTCGTGCATATAAATTCCCTCGTATGTTTGCAAAGTTGAGATCAATAACATAGAGGAGCTCTCAAGTTTTAATTACTCAGAAAAACCACTTACCAACGGGGCTTTTGTGCACGAGATTGAAAGGCTCCTTCATAAAAGTTTGTAATTGCGCTAAAACCCCCAAATCCGCTTCCAGAGACTGCAAAGCACTGAAAGCTTTGCACTTGACTTTCTTATCAGCGTTGAGCTGATAAATCGACGCCAGTCCTTCGAGTTGAGCAGTGAAATCTACGAAATCACCTCTCGAAAGACAGGAAACTAGTTCTTCGCAGCTCTGAAAAAAATTGCATCAATTCCCAATTAATCTAATTAATAATCCAAATGGATGTCCAAAATCCATCTAAATATTTACACATGAAGATATGAACTGAAACCAGTAATTGCAATCATTTGTGAAACATTGGAAATTTTGTGAAGTTGGAATCTTGCATTAATTTCTTTTTGCTGAATAAACCTGAGCAGTTTTCGGGTTTATTCAGAAGTTATTGAGCTCAAAAATTAAAAATAAGAAAATAATTTATGGAGCTAATGAATATGAAAAATGGGAACTACCTGCTGTTCGCTCTTCCCTTCATGCTGGATTTTCACGTCCTTAACGATTCCGGAGGGCTCCAGAAGGACCTCGAGAAAGAACATATCAGAGGAGATGAATAATCCTGTCTCAGTTGCACTAGGTACCATTGCGAACTTTAATCTGTATAAATAAAAGGAGCCAATTTAAAAAATTTATCACAATATTCAAGTGATAAGGAAAATATGCAGTGTACCTCAAAACACATTCTATATATCGTGAGGGTAACTCGGAAGGATTATTTGTAGACAAAATGTCCAATAAAATTGTCGCTTTGTTATGAAGTTATTCGACAACAAAGGAAAAATTACCGCAAATTATCCTCTTTTTGAAAATTCACATCTTTCACTCGGGATGGAAGACTGCCAATGATGATAATCAATTGGGCATTTAAGGATATCCAAGTGTATTTTACACTTTGGTACAGACCACACTATAGATTCAACTATTTTCAATAATGAAATTTGTCAATTAAATTGCGTGCGAAAAATTTAAATATAAATTATGAATATTCAGAAAATTGAAATTCACAAAATTATTATTTTTTTAAACATTCGTTGTTTAGAAGTAAATAATTCTTTCAATTATGTGTTTCTGTTAAAGATATACAAATGCTCCTCCTCATATTTTTTCTATATATATTTGTATATTTTTTTATTTTATTTTCTCTCTTTTTTTGTTTCTTTCTTTATACATTTGTATTATCAGGATTTACCCTTGTAAAAATGATATCATGTATTAAAGACAGTGAATACATTATAAATAATTGAAATTGTTTAAACTTTCGAAAACTTCATTTTTTGGGCATGAAATCGTTTACTGATAAAATTCTGGATCGGAATAAATTTGGTTTTGGAAATGGTTTTTATGGTGGAAAATTGATTGCTTATAAATTATTTATAAAAAATAATCGTAGTTTAAAAAAAATACAATTTTTCATTATTTCATCAATCTTTCTTCAAAAAAACATTTTCAATTTTTTTTCACATTTTTAAAATATTTTCTAATGGTTCAATATTGGGATTAAAATTCAGACCTGTAAAGTTTAAATAATAAAATCATTGTAAAGTATCTGGAAACTTGGGGTAAAAAAAGGAGAAAACCATTTCACTGGAGACAAAATAGCCAAAGTACTTGAATATCCTTAAAGTAGCTCTACCCTTCGGCCGGGCTACGCTGTACTTTTGACTATTTTCAGTTTTTAAATTTTTCAATTAAATTGCATGGAAAAAGTTTGAAAAAATTCATACCCAGCCAGTATTATCTAAATTAAATTTCGCAAAATATTGATATTTTTTCAAACATTTCCCTCTTATTATAAATCAATAATAAAACTTGTTTGCAAAACGGTCGATTATTTTTCATGAGGCGTCTAAAAAATTCTTGATTTTTTCACATCTAATGAAAAAAAATTCAGATTTTAATCTTTGATTACAATGGAAATGTTGATTTTCACCTAAGATACTGGGTTAAATCCTGATTTTTAAACATTTCTTTTTTGAAAAACCAAAAGGATAATTAAATTGAGAAAAAAATTAGAATTCCGATTGTAATCGAGCTTTCTGCAATTTTTATGCAGTTTTCAATAATCTTTGAATTTACCGTAAGGGTAGAGCTACTTTAATGCACAGTGATCTGAAAACAAAACTAGTTTGTCAGACAAAAATTTCGTTGGAGTTTTCGTCTCCAAATAAGCACCCCAAGCTACCCTTGCCATATGTACGATGAGATTTGGAACACCCTGTATAGTATTGTAAAGAGTTTACCCCAACTGTCTGGTGAGACTCTCGAGCCTCTCCACCATCGACTGGAGGGAAGACACTTTGATTGAATGTTGGAGTGTGTCGAGACATTTCTGTAGTTGACCCTTCTCAACGCTGTCGATCGCAAACCTCTTGTCCTTTATAAAATTACAGAATGCAGATAATGTTATTCTCTAAACATGAGGGAAAACTGGGGTAGAATGGCTACTTTCAAGTCTTGAAAATATTCGCAGCCCAGTGTCGACTCATACACTGACACAAACAAAGGTTTTTGGGGAGATACGTCTTTACTTATATCAAGAAACTTCTGACTTGAAAAATTTTCAAGAGTAAAACTATCTTGCACTAAGAAAATAAAAACTTTCGGCAAGTAATTTTGGACTTATCTTAAATACGAAGACAATTTCTTGATATTACGAAAAGTTCGTTATTTCCTCTACATTCGGAGATATTCCTCGAAAACTCTGCTTCAAGAGTTTACCGCTTCGCTATTATGATTTTTTATAATTATTTACTCTTGATGTTTAGAACCGAATGATTATTGATAATTCATTTAAAAACTGGAAGGAGGAAAATTGTAGACAAAACTTACGAGCATTGCCATTCGCAGATTCTTCGCAGTTTCCACGAGACTCTTCAGACCTGATGATTTCGATCTTAATTTCTCCATGAGTAGCTCCATTTGCCACTCTTTACTCTTATCCACGCCAGTGCCTCCAGTGGGTGGATGCCCACCTGAATCATACAAGATCATTATGTAAACAACCCTTCGTAACGTTTCAGGTCAAGCATAGGTTTTTAACCTTCCCCAATTGCTTTCAGCTGTCATTAATTGTGAATAAACATTAAAACTTCTTTTAAAATTTCTGACAACTGAAAAATACATGAATACAAATCAGTAGTGGAGTGATGAAACAAAAAGAATCTACTTGACATTAAGCACATTTTTTGTAAATATTTCTGAACGTAAAGAAGACATGAAAAATTTCATGAGAATATTTCCTGCAGCTTTAGCTTTTCTCATCCTATTCTACCCCTTCACTACTGGAATGTAATAAAGACAAAACGTGAAGATATCATTAAATCTACGCTTTCAATTTTGAAGTTCATTACAATAATTTCTATCTATCAATCCAAATCCAAATCAATACAAATCACAAATCACTACTGGACTGCTGGAACAAGCCAAATCCACTTGACATCAAGCTCATTTTTTGTAAACATTACTAAATGAGAGGAGGACGTAAAAAATGTCATGAGAATATCCTCCAGGAAAAATATCGTTGCTAAAATTTTGTTATATCTATTCATCTCCAATTAACTAATCCTATTCTACCCCTTCCCTACTGAAACCCGCTAAAGACAACATGAAAATAAAATTAAATCTGCACCCTAAATTTTCGGGGTCATGACAATAACTTTAATTAACAAATATTGATTTCCCATAAAACTCCATTTGAAATCTCTATCAATCCCCAAATTTATCAATACAAATCAGTAGTGGAGTGATTAAATAAGCTAAATCCACTTGACATCAAACTGTTTTTTGTAAATATTTCTAATTCTTAATAAAAAGAAGACAACAAATTTAATGAGAACATTTCCTGCAGCTCTTGCTTCTCTAGGAGAAATATCTTTACCAAAATTTCGTCATATCTGTTCTCCAAAATTAACTAATCCTACTCTACCCCTTCCCTACTGAAACCTACCAAAGACAACGTGAAAATATCCTTAAATCTGCACCTTCAATATTCGGGGTCATTACAGAATCTTTCATTGACCCCTCAAACTTAAAAACAAAATAATTAAAGATCAATCTTCCAACAATTGAATACGATAACGAAACATAAACAATCACAATACTGTTGGCATCTACAGCACAGTGCAAGCTTTTTCCGCCCACCGACTAAAATCAATAAATCTGGACATAAAAAGTGATTAAAAATTAATTAAACAGAGAGAGGCCAAGTGAATAATGAGTAATAACGATAACCCCCAAATAGACTCATTGCCCTGCGAAATGGAGAAAAAAATACCACTAAAAATCCGCTATTCACTCGCGGCAATTATTTCCATCAATCAGTCTTTCAGCCATTAACGACTAATTAAATCAGAGGATTATTTTTTCGCAATGGTAAAAATATATAAACTAATTAGTGGACTTACCGAGGGGCTTCTGGCCATTAGTAGCATCCATGTATCCTTACGTGGATACTATGGATGCCTTTTTACCCTGTTGAGTCAATCCTCCACGGAAAATAAGTAAATTAAAACGTTCTACTACATTATGACAGCAACATCTGCTTCACTGATGGTTTTGTTAAACACTCCACAGACACTAGATCTAACCTTTGCACATCTTGAAACAAGTAGTCAAACGGTCGTTCATATAAACTTGAAGCGATTAGAGTTTTGTCGTACGTACACAGTGACAAAATTTGATAATACATATATGTACGAATAAATGCCGTGACGACGACGCTTTACGTGTTATATTGTACGACCTCTGTACGATGTGAGCTTATGCTTACGGAGCTCCGAACTTTTTTTTCTTCACGTCGAGTACATAGGGGAGAGAGAGAGAGAGAGAGAGAGAGAGAGAGAGAGAGAGAGAGAGAGAGAGATGGGGTATTCAGGAGAAGTTTTCATTGAGGCGGCAGATGTGGAAGTGGCATGCACCGCCATGTGGCGGCGCGATAATGACTCTTATGGAATTTGAACTAGCGCCTGCGACGTGGGTGTTGATGCCCTTTTTCCTGTTAGATTCGATATTTCTTTTTTCAATCAATTGTTTATAATCACTCGTACTGCAAAAAGTAATACCATCGATGAGAATCATAGGCTCCAGTTTAGAAGCTGTTCAATTTTCATATTATAATAAATGATTTACTTATATTGTAATTCCTTTGCTCACTGGATATAGTATTTTTCCGGGCAGCAGCAATGGGGTTTTTTGGGATGGGTGCAACCCCAAGTAGCAAACCTTGCGAAAGATATCTGAAAGTATACCAAAAAGGCAGACTAATGTCCGTCCAAAATGTATCTTGCAGTCACACGATAACTTTTAGTTAACTTCTAGGTAATTTCTAGACACAAGTTACCTTTTTGGACAGACATTAGACAGCCTTTTTGGTATACTTGCAGATACCCTCCAGAACTGTGCTGCTTGGGACTGGACACAGTCAACTGAACACATCCGCAACTGCCCAAGTAGCAAACCTTGCGAAAGATATCTGAAAGTATACCAAAAAGGCAGACTAATGTCCGTCCAAAAGGTATCTTGCAGTCATACGATAACTTTTAGTTAACTTCTAGGTAACTTCTAGACACAAGTTACCTTTTTGGACAGACATTAGACAGCCTTTTTGGTATACTTGCAGATACCCTCCAGAACTGTGCTGCTTGGGACTGGACACAGTCAACTGAACACATCCGCAACTGCCCAAGTAGCAAACCTTGCGAAAGATATCTGAAAGTATACCAAAAAGGCAGACTAATGTCCGTCCAAAAGGTATCTTGCAGTCACACGATAACTTTTAGTTAACTTCTAGGTAATTTCTAGACACAAGTTACGTTTTTGGACAGACATTAGACAGCCTTTTTGGTATACTTGCAGATACCCTCCAGAACTGTGCTGCTTGGGTGACCACAGATCTGGTAACTTCGGCAACTGAAAACATACGTAAATACAAGAGGGTGAAACGTAGTGATATTGTCAACTTAGTCTTCCCTATCGACGAAGTCAGTTGATGATATACATGGGAGATGGCGCTGATAGGTTTAAAACGGAGGAATGAGAATTACTTGTATATAGTGTGAGCTAACTTTGGGAGATGACGAAGAACTATTGCAGGAGCATCAATAATCAGAATATTAATATGTCAAGTATCGTAAGAACATCGTCAATCAATCGAACAAGAGTGAG